GAAATTGAGATTTATACATCATCTGAAAGCTGAATAAATAATCTTTCCATTGATGTATGGTTTGTTAGGATAGGACAATATTTGGCTGAGATACAACTATTTGAAAATCTGGAATCTGAGGGTGCAAAAAAATCTAATATTGAGAAAATCATCTTTAAAGTTGTCCAAATTAAGTTCTTAGCGATGCATATTACTAATCAAACATTAAGTTTTGATATATTTACGGTAGGACATTTACAAAATATCTTCATGGAACATGATCTTTACTTAATATCCTAATGATGTTTGGCATAAAAGAAAAATGTATAATTTTGACCCATACAATGTATTGTTGGCTATTGCTACAAATATACCCCAGCGACTTAACACTGCTTTTGTGCTGCAGGCTCACATATTATGAAGACCCGATGGTTTGTGTGTCTGACAAACCCACTCTCTATTCACATTCATTATATAGAAAACAGCGGCTAGATATTCATTAAAATGTACAGAAATGTAAAGTAACACAGGTTTACGACATCATGAGGACAACTGAGTTGCTTTTTATGTGAACAAACACAGAATACAACAATGAAAATGACCGATCAAACCCAGAAGTGCACTTTTACAGTATTTATAAAGATCACTTAATTATATAATATTAAATAACATGTAGTATTGTTTATATTCTATAGTATTAGCTTTCATTTTTATATTTTCAGTTATTTTATTTATAATTTTTATTAATAATTTTCAATTATTTTAGTAATTATTGTTAACTAAAATTAATATTTCCATTGCATGAAATAAAATAACCTTTAACTGAAGTAAAATAAAATAAAATAAACCTTAAACTTATTTTATTTCAGCTAGTTGCCAAAGCAACATTTCTTATTTTCATTTAGTTTAAAGATGTACTAGAATAACTAAAACTAAAATAAAAATTAATAAGAAAAAATTAAAACTATATAAACATACAGACATTTATTAAAAAGCAAACAAAAATCTACAACAATTTTACTAAAACTATAAAATATATACAATAACATATATAGAAAATATAATAAAAACTATAATATCTCAATGATACTAAGTGCTTTAGTCATTTTATTAGCTTTTGTTTTAATTAACTGAATTAAATTTAGTTTTAAAGTTTTTGTTTGAGTAATATGTAGTACTTTTAGTTTTTTAAGTTTAAGTTTTTTTTATCTAATATTTATTTTACTTTATTTTATTTCAGCTTAATTTTGATTAACAATAATGATTTGTAGTTGTTTTAATTAACAACAACAACAGCACTGCAGGTGAATTGAAGGTGAACCGGCATGTAGTATTGTTTTTAATTATTTATTTATTTTAAATAAATTATATATTTTTGTCTTTGTGATAATGGAATTTTTTCACAGTTTTATATTTTATCTTATAATTATAAATTATATATAAATCGTTACAAATTCTTTTTCTGTGCATTTGAAGCGGTCACCTGCTGGATCAGGCTCAGTATAAACTAAAGTAAAAATGAATAAAAACACATGATGTAGTGAGTTTTCTTGCGATCACTGAGCACATGTGAATGTGACGGTGCCGTTATCCACATCTAAGGGAAATTATGTCATCTGTGTAGAGGAAGTGGAGTTAAGCAAATGGAATTTTAATGGGAAAATGGGCCAATCTTGAGGCAGTCGGTTCCTGTTATTGAGGCTCGTCTGAAGACCAGATGCTCGCGCAGAACATAAATAATCAAGGAAAGTCTCTGCAAACCAGGTGATCTGACCGAATGTAATATGAATAACTGTACTGACATACTCATTAATTCTATAGAGCTCGCTGATTGAATAAAAACAAGCAAATAAATCATCACAGATCACTAACTATAGAAGTTATACATCAGAAGAAGCGTTCTGCTAGAAGCCGCTCGTATGAGTTTGTAAGTCATAATTACGGTCCTGAAGCGATTTTGGTTGGAATAAACAAGAGCGGATTGTGATCCTGTGAATAAGCAGACTCTCGTGACAGTCCAAACAACAAGAAATTACACTGACATATGAGAAATAAAGCCAGAATTAGTGGACGGAAAGTCACAAAGCTGCAATTTACAAACAAAACATTTACAAGAATGAACTTATGACGTATTGTACGTAATACACTGCAGAAGAGAGGAGAGCGGAGCAGGACTGGAACAAGTCTTGAGCTCATCTTTAAAGCTTTTAGTGTTTAAATACACATAGCTTTTCATTTCACTTTAACAATAAGGCAGAGTAGTTTTACACCAAAGTGATGACTGAATATAGTTCATATTACCTTCTAGATTATGATATAATAATACAGCCCTGCATTTTAGCTGAATTTGTAAGTCGCTCTGTATAAAAGCATCTGCTGAATGAATAAATGTAACTGTAAATTAACTCAATACTCTTTTTTTTTACTAATTTAGTGCAGCTGGTTGCAAAAATAGTTTCTGTTTTTCTCGTTCATGTCACACTTTCTCACTAAATATGTGCATTTCATAATGTTTGCACATTTTATTTGATGCCTAATTCTGATTTCTACTTTTCCACTACTTTGTAGACTGTATGTTAAATGATAGATTATGAATACTTTTTTTGTCATAAAAACTATTAACATTTAACAGTTTTTTTATACATGCATTAAAGCGGATACATTTATATATATTTATATATTTTGAAAAATCTTCATCCTTTTTCTCTTAATGATACTTTTGAACTCAGCATCATGGAATTTTTAGGTATGTTTAGGCCTTTTTGGCAAATCAGAGTTATTTATTTATTCATTTATTTTTTTAATTATTTGTATTTATTTCTTTTTTGGGGGGGGATGCTGGGCTGTGTTATTTTCAGAAATAGTATTTATTTATCTGCTATTGTTAAATATTCAGGTTTTCAGGTAATAAAATGCTTGAAAAAAAATACCATTTAAAATAACATTTTTGAAAACAAAATGTGCATTACCCATTCAACAATGTGTATATATATATATATATATAGAGAGAGAGAGAGAGAGAGATTATTTTATATTAGATAGATTGTCTGGTTTCTGATATTTAGCAGCTGGTGCTGAGACTGATTTCATGACACATTTAAAGCTGATGTAAACATATTTTCCTGGAATAGCACAGATAACAGGTATCAGTGAAATGAGTGTGATGAGAAAGCACATCTGTTTCTGTAACACAACTAAACTCCCAGTGTGTGGGAGAACTTCGCAGAAAATAGTCTACAGCACATTTAACAAGTTAACATGAGATATGAAAAGAAAGCAATGCGAGTCAGTTTAGATATCGACTTTTCTTTGACCCAAATGAAGGTTTCATTTGTCTTAGGCATATCTAGTTTTAGTTAACAATAACAACACGGCAGATGAACTGAGAAAATTTACCCATCATGAAACTGTATGCATGTATGTATTATTATTATTATTATTTTAATAAACTATATATTTTTGTATTTGTGATAATGGAATTATTTGGCTGTTTATGTATATAAATATATATTTTTAATATTATAAGAATTAATATTTTTCGGTATATTTGAAGCAGGACATTCATCTGTGTCACTCAAAAACGAAACCAATTTTAAAATAAAAATACATTTAAACTGTAAAAATAAGTCAGTTCAGGTGTTTTTAGATTTCGGCTTTAAAGGGATAGTTCACCCCAAAACAGAAATTCTTTCATTATTTACTCAACCTCGTGTCGTTCCAAACCTTTCTTTCTTTCTTCTGTTGAACACAAAAGAAGATATTTTGAAGAAACCCTAAAGAATCATATCAACTTGTGGAAAATGGGCATCTGATGTCCCCTTTAAAAATATACACCTTAAAGGGTTAGTTCACCCAAACATGAAAATTTACTCACCCTCATATAATTCTGTACCTTTATTTCTTTCTTTCTTCTGTTGAACACAAAAGAAGATATTTTGAAGAATCCAAACTATGGCAGTCAATGGCTACCAGCTGTCTGATTACCAATATTCTTTCAAATTAGGGCTGCAACAAATGATTATTTTGCTAATCGATTAATCTAATGATTATTAGAATAATTAACTGACTAATCATCAGTTATTTCACTGATTAATCAGTAGACTTTGATTATTCAGCTTTTGTTATACATATAGGGCTCAGCCGGGATGGTGTCCATGAGCAGTGCTTGTTGTGGCTGCGTGGTGTTATCAGTGTCCTTGTGGGATGTGTCAACCACATGATGACTCGGAAGCTGATATGAAGTCCTGTGGTCACTCATACTCTGTCCAGGTGTGGACAGAGTATATTATTAGAATAATTAACTGACTAATCATCAGTTATTTCACTGATTAATCAGTAGACTTTGATTATTCAGCTTTTGCAAGTTATACATATTCTAATACATAAATAAATAACATGAGTAGCATGTTGCTAGCATGCTTTTAGCATGAATAACATGTTGCTAGCTTGATTAGCATGTTGTTGGGATGTTTTAGCATTATTAGCACATTGCTAACATGTTGTCCTATGATAGTCATTAAGCTTTGCCGGTTTAAACACTCTGTAAGTCTTACAGTGCAAAAGTTTTGACACCCTCAATGAAAGTCTATGGGACTTTTCGTAATTTTGAGCATCCGTTTAATGAAAACGGTAAGTCCGATCAGTTAGAAAATGTAAAGCAACCCGAGCCAGACCAGTCTGAAGGTCTGTGCCAAATTTGGTGGTTGTAGCTTTAAAACTCTGGGAGGAGGAACAGTCCAAATTTAGTCTCAGAAGAAGAAGAAGCTTAATGCATGATAGGGATGCATGATATTATCAAACCTTACAGTCTGGTAAGGCTTTTTATTTACATAGGGGGCGCTATTGGCCTATGTGTATCACTAAGAAACTTGTGTTTCTGAACAAATAAAGCAGTATTAATGTCATAAAATCATGAGTATGTTTTGATGTAAAGGTCAGAAGCTATAGCTTACATGAATAAAAACAAACAAACATGACACTTGTAAATTCAATAATTTTATATATACAGATTTATTCATTAATGTGTTATATGTTTGTTTTTTTTAAACGAATTATGAGCTCTAAAAGATTTTCAGATTTTTTAAGGTTTTTAAGGTTTTTTTCTGAAAAAAAAAGCAGCGATTGATATATAGTTGATTTATAATTATTTTCAAAGCTTTTAATGTACTGTCATTATAAAAGAACTTCATTATTGTTTATTTAATTCTAACAAATAAGTTTTTGTTAAAAACTAACCAAAATTAAAAATAATGTGTTTATAATTTCCACACAGGAGAGACTTGGTGTTGTTTCCAAACAAAAGGAAATATATCGGCATCGGCTATCGGCCAAAATGAGTTGAAAAATATCGGCATATCGGATATCGGCAAAAATTCAGTATTGTGCATCACTATTAAATAGTAGATCAAAGTGATAGAGGGAGTAAATCAGGCCTGACTGTGGTGTGTGGTGAAGAGCTGCACCTGTGAGGAGTGTAAATCTGTCAGACTCACCTCTGGAAGAGCGGAAGTGTTTGCTGGGAGCCGTGAAGCCGCGCGTGCCGTGAACGTTCACCGCCGCCACGCGGAACTGATACCACCTGCTCGGCCGCACGTCGCTCAGCAGCGCACGCTCTACAGCAACCTGAGGGGCACAGGGGTCAGAGGTCACGGTCAGTGCTCACTGGGGTCACAGGGTCACGTACAGGCGGCTCTGAATATGAGCCTGGAATCTGGTATATTTTAAAACATGAAGGACTGGAAAGACATATGTGCATCTGTTTATTTTAACTTGCTTCAACACTGCAAAAAATGATTTTCTAACTCAGTATTTGTGAGCCTGGAGCACAAAAGCAGTCATAAGTAGCACAGGTATATTTGTACTAATAGCCAACAAATATTGTTCTATCAAATAGTTGTATCTCGGCCAAATATTGTCCGATCCTAACAAACCATACATCAATGGAAATATTATTTATTTAACTTAAAAGAGATCTTCAGAAATCTCAATTTCAAAATATTGACCCTTATGACTGGTTTTGTGGTCCATGGTCACATTTGTGTCTTGTTTTCCAGAACAAATATTTAAACATCCTTAAATCAAGATACATTTACTGGAGAAGAAAAATGACTTGTAGTTTTCTGAAAAATTTATCAAAATGAAGTGAGTTTTTGCTTGAAACAAGAACAAATATCTGCCACTGGAGTCAGAAAAAATAATGTGTCCCTTAACTTTGATACATTTCTCAGAAAACAAAACGTATTTTCTTTAGTAAATGTGTCTAATAATTTAAGAGTGTTTTGATATTTGAATTGGAAAACAAGACAAAAAATGAGGTAGGTCAATATTTTTTGCAGTTCAGTTGTCTGACTTTAATACTGTATTGTGATGAATTTCCAAAGGACAAACAGCTCTAGAACAAGAAAAAAAAAGTTATTAATTTTTATTTGTTGGATTCAGACTGAGCAGACGGGGGAAAAAAAACTCAATTCAAATATGACTAAAAATAACTAAAATAGCAACTAAATATAACACAAAAAATAAACGTTAATAATTTTGCATATATTTTCATTTAATCTGATATTTCATTTTGTTCAAATTCCAAATAAAAAAAGACAATAATCCAGCTGTTAATTTGTAAACGATTTAATTCAGTGGATTAGGTCCAAATAGACATCATCACATAATTATTTAATATATACAATTCGAAGCATAAACATTTTATGAACTTAATTATGAACTCAAATGAGATTGAATATCTTTAAGTCATTTTGCCAAGACTAAATTATTGAGTAAGAAAACTTTTTGCAGAAAAGTCGGCATAAAACTGAAGCTTTCTGTCTTTACTATTGTAATGTGATTAACTTTTGAGGGAAAAACAGCTACTGAATAAGAATAAAAATTGGCAAGACTTGATTCTATTCGTTTTTTTTATTGTTGTTTTTTTTGATTGAGCAGATGGAGAATATAAAAACCTTTCAAATTCTACGTTTTAATAAAAACTATAATAGTGTATTAATGATACTACAACATTTATATATTGTTTTATTTCAGCTTAGTTGTAACACTAAATTAAATCGTCACATGATTTGCTTCATATGCCATTTTGTCCTCAAAATGAACTCAGAAATGTATTTGGCAGACACTTTTATCCAAAGTAACTTTAGTATTTTAATATTGTTTTGATTAATATTCTGAAATAACTTTTTCTTGTGTGTTTTGTCTTTTTTAATATTACTAATGAGGTTTAATTTATTTATATGTCAGCTTTAGTTTTAGTTTTTATTTATTTAGCGTGAGCAATTGTAATGCTTCAACTTAAACGTTCAGTTCAAGTAAATTAACATAAAACTGTAACACTAAATAAAACTGTCATATGGTTTGCATCAAATGAAAACAGCACAGAAGGACGATTTTTCTATATTTATGCATTTACATTTACATTACATTTATGCATTTGGCAGACGCTTTTATACAGTGTGGCTTAGATTCAGTATTATTTATATACTATTATAGTTTTTATTAGTAGTTTGAATTAGCTTTTATTTTGATATTTTAATTTTTAATTTTTAAAAAATTTTAATATTATTTAACAAATTTTTATTTTCTAAATTAATTTTAAATTTTAATTAAAATTTATTTTCGCAATGTCGTTTGTGTTTTTGTCGTTTTTAATATTATTATTAAGGTTCAATTTATTATTTCAGTTTTATTTTTGCTTTTAATCTAATATTTACATTTCAGCTTTATTTCAATTAACAGTTGTCTTTAACAGTTTTAGTTTTAGTAAATGAAAAAAAACCCCATGCATTCCTGTACAACGTCACAGAAATCACGTGCTTCACAAACATCCCGCTCTCGATGAGCTCCTGCTGAATTTCAGTGAGCTCAAGAACTAAATCAAAAGAAACAAACACTGTTCTGGCTTCATACTTTAAACAGCATTATTAGTGAGACAAAATCATGTGTAAATCACAAAAAAAAAATGCATTGCATATGTGGGTTGTTTTGACACAACATTAACACTTTACTTAAAGCCTTCATATATAATGCATTCCAAAAGTATTTTAATGCATTAATGAAGCATGATAATAATACTCATCTATTCATTGTTACACCTTTAGAAGGTAAACATCTTAAATTTGGTTACAATTAGTTATAATGCATTACAATGTGCATTATGAATACCTTACAATGCATTATAAATACAGGCTTTAAGTGACGTGTTCCTGGTATTCTGAGTTGAATCGGGCTTCGTCTCTGGGTCAAGGAGAAAGATGAGGAGGTTACAGGAACATCTGAGAGCCATCGACAGAGCAGCGTTAATGGTTTCCAGCATCGCTGATCGTCATCTTCTAACAGAGAGAAACAATTACGCTCCTGACACCAGCGACGGCTCTCTGATTGCCTTTGGATTTCAATAAAAGGCTTTACGGCTTTCTGCAAACCAAGGGGAAGCAGTAAATCAATACAGACGAAGCGTAAAGCCTGCTTCAGTCCACGCTTCTGTGTTACTGTAGTATTACTCGCATACTATTACAGCTTTAGTTTATACATGCAATTTGACTTTATTTTTAGATTTCCTGTGTTCACTTTAACTACATTTTAGTACTTGTGTTGTGTGTTTTTGTCATTTATATTTTATAATTTTTTATATTGATTGATTTTTAATGGGTTTTTTTTATTAGTTTTAGTTATTTTAGTACTTACAGTTTAGGTTTTGTTAATATTTTGAATTAGATTTTATTTTCTTGAATTTAGATTTATTTTTATTTTAAGTTGTACTTGTGTTTTGTCATTTATATTTATAGTTTTTAATTTTTTTCCCGATATATTTGTATTAATTTTTATTTATTCGTTTGAATTATTTTAGTAGTTCAAGTAAAAAAAAAAAATTAAATGTTATTTTGGTTATCCATACAAAAAAGTTATTATTAATGTTTTGAATTACATTACATTTATGCAGTTGTCTTATGCTTTTATCCAAAGTGACTCTTTAGTATTTTAGTATCATTTATATACTATTATAATTTTTATTAATATTGAATAAGCAGTTATTTTACATTTTCAGTTTTAATTTCAATTTATTGTTGATGGTTTTTTTTTTACTAATTTGTTTTAGTTTTAGTTATTTCCAGTTAGTACACTCTAAAAAAAAAAAAAAAAGCTGGGTTATATTTTAACCCAAATGCTGGGTTCAGCTTGTTGGGTCATTTTTAATGTTTTTTACCCAGGTGCTGGGTAGTTTTCTGTTACTAAGTTGTTGGGTTGGGTTTAATTTAATTTGATGTTAATATACGTTCTCTAATCTCAGTACTGTTTGTTTATGGGCAGGTTGTAGAGTTCCCCCGCGAACAGCAGCCCTTCACCGGCTCAGATTTATTAGCACTATTTCGGTAAAAAAGCGATTACAGAGAACAGTTGAATACACTTAAATTAAAATGTTACTTTTAAATGTTACATTTTTTTTTTCTAAAATGCTTGTTGAATGAGTTTAAATGTATGTAATATTGTAAACTTTGCTGTATTCACCCAAATAAATTCAATTTGTCTTGTATTTTGTTCATGGGTGTTCTTGCTTAATAATACATGTTCATCTTTTGATTATTGCTGTTGCCTCTAGTAATTCTGTGTGATTTTTAATTTCCAGCCCATTTTAAACCAGCAATATAATAATTTTTAAACAATAGTTGAGTTAAATAAAACAACCCAGCATGGTGGGTCAAAATAACCAAATAACCCAAGTTAGGTTTTAGTTTTAGTATTGCATTTATATTACATTATTTTGAATGAGCTTTTATTATTATATTTTCAGGTTTCAATTTAATTTTAGTTTACTTTTTTAGTATTTTTTATGTGTTTTTCTCTTTTTTTTTTTGATGATACTTTATTATAATTATTTAGGTTTAATTAAATTACATTTTTGTTTTTATTTATTTCCAGCTAGTAATTTTATTGTTTCAACATAAACTTATTTTGTTTTCATCTAGTATTTATACAGATTTCAATGAACAGTTGTCTTTAATAGTTTTAGCTCATGATAATAACTCATGACTCACACACACACACACATACACACACACACGCTCACAAACTCACACACACACACACACACACACACACACACACACACACACA